GTCCCCAGAAACGAGCCCTACAGTAACAGGGCTTTAGTGGCCCATGGCTCTGGGGATGAGCGGCTGCATGGCCGCGTGCCGTGGCCCCGGGGGGGGCTTAGCCCTCTGTGCCGGAACCGATGGCACTGGACGGGGCAGGAACCCAGCGCAGCCGCAGCCACAGGGGCCGCAACGCTGCAAACAAGCGACACAGATGGTGGCACAGGCAGGAACCGGCACCTTGTGCTGCAAATGTGCAACCACACCTCGGCTGCAAAGCAAAGGGAGAAGCAGGAATCCCTCGGCATGCACCAGGCGGTAGAGCTCACCCGATTCAGGGGCGGGATGGCCGGGAGCGCTGCCCTCAGTCAGCTTCTGAGAAAACGTTATTGGATGTGGGGCAGCACGTGGAAAAGCAGCCCCAAACTGACAGAACCCCTTTTTAGAGATTAAGCTGCCCAACGCCTCCGGCTGTTTATTGCACCCAACCGCTGGCAAGTGAAACAGGGAGCCAAGGGTTGGATGCTTTCCCAAGGGGTTTACTCCTCTCCTACGGGGCTGTAGCAGAGGGATCTTGCACTGAAGCGTTAGCATCGGACGGTACCGACCGCCATCTCAGAAACAAACAGCTCTTTGAGGGCGCGTTGGCGTTTGTGTGGTACGGGACGGAGGAGCAGGAGCGGAGGGAGCTGAACCTCGCGCTGATTTGAAGCAGCCGGGTGACGGACAAGGCAGGGCACAGGCGCGGTGCCCGGTGTCACGCACCCGCGGGAGGGAGACGTCTGTGGTGCTGATGGACCGACAGCCTCGGCCGGGGACCCCGCGGGCCTGAAACATCCCGGCAGCACCGCAGCACCCAGAGAGAAGCTGAGAGGTGGGAAAGCTGACAGCCTGGCGGGGCCTGAGCGTGAACTGGACACCAGGGGTGTGACGGGTCTGTGGCAGTCCCCAAACCCTATAGCTGCTACACCTGACACCGCGCCCTGCGGTTGTGTCCATAGCGCTGCGGGGAGACCCGACCTTTATCATCCTGCACACACGGTTCCAGTACCACGGCAGCAGCGCTGCAGATGGGGGGGGGACACGTGCCCGCTAGCCTGAAAACTGCAGCAGACTCAGCCAGAAGGGACCACAGGGACCTCAGTGGTGGCGCAGAGGGACCCGAGTGTCCTCGGAGGCC